CTATGTTGTTGGTCTAGATACAACGGAAAAAAAGCATAGAGGAGATGGAGGAGACACAACCAAAATGTTTGAGTAGGGCCTTTTGGGAAAGAATACAAGCTGAGCGCCATGGCAGAAGGCAGAGTAATTTTTGTTATGGTATTTTGGAGGAATTAGTATCAAAGAGGCCCCAAGAGGAGCCAGCAGTAGCCAAAGCAGAGCAGGACAAGGACAAGGACGTAGCTGCTGCAAGAAAAGCAAAGGGCTCCTCGGGCTGGTGCGCTCCACTTGTGTGAACAGGGCAGTACTGATTCGGTTTGTAAAACCCATTCCTCAGAAGTAAGTTTTCCAGACCACGTAAAGAGAAAAAGATCAATGAATTGCAACAAATAGAGTTTAAATAAAAATGCATAAAATTTACAATTCCGTTAACTTGTCAAATATTTAAAAATCAGCAAACAATAGACACAATTTGTTTTGTTCAGAGCCCAGAGGTAGAGACCAAATCCTCTAAGTTAATTTCTGCAAAAGCTGTGGGGTTTTTTATCCACACAGGTCTGGATCCCATTCGTTATAGAATATACTGATTACCAACTATTTTTAAGAGCTTTACACAAACATTATTTCTTTTGTTGTGTGAAATGCAGAATCAACCCTCTGGCAAATGCCCCAGAGCTAAAATCTTTTACATGACATATAATTCAAAATGATTAAATATACAACAGAAAATAGCTATAGCATTGCACTTAAAATAGCATGAACTTTTACTGCCGATCAAAACTGATTTCTTTAGCTTAACAAGTATCCAAAGAACAATTATTTGAAGAGCTTTTAAGAGTTTCAATATGTAGGAACTAAACCTCATCTAAATTCAGTATCTTAAGTCAAATAAAAAAGAAACAAATGTACAAAAGATTAAATGGTCCCGTGTTATAAGTAGACATTTAAATCTATGGGAAGCTAAATTCATTCAAACGAAAATACTATATTCCCTGTGCATGCGGATTGCTGGGGCTTTCCTCTCCATTGCTAAGGTCATCTGCCAAAACAACTCTTACATTCTTAGGCAATGACTAGGGACTAGCCTGGAATCAGCTTGTTCATCCACTCCCTCCACCATCAGAATGGGCAATTTCAAAGAGCAGGGAATAAAGCTCAGCGCATGATCTCTAAGCACAGGCAATTTTTTTTTCTTTTTTTTTTTCTGCAGCACAGCCTACTTGTAAGTTAAACTTGCTGTCTTTTTTTCCAGAAATACTCCAGGCCTGAAAAACTGCCAGGTCCTCATCCCACACCCAACTCACCAGTAGTTTATGAGAAAGAGCACGCAAACATCTGCATGTATTTGGGGGGTAGGTAGAGAAATATTACCCTACATAATTATTGAGTGGTTATGGCTCTGTTTCCCAGCTATATTTTTCAGACAAGTCAAAGTCTACATTTCTCAAGCAGCACTTGCTGCAAGTCACATTTGAGATGTAAAGCAAAAATGTCCAAATGTAGAAGATTTGTGTTATGGATTTGTATGCTTGGATAAGCCTGAAATAGATTAACACATTTCTACCAACCTTCAAAAAGAGAAAATGCCTCTCTCCATTCAGATCAAGCACAAGAGTTTTCATCCCAAAGTAACAATGTGAGAAAACTGCAAGTCTATGATTATCAACACTTAAAAATAAAATGTCTTCTCAGCCTTGTCCATGGCGTTGGGTGAGCCTGAATGCCAACAATCCTTGGATGTTCTAAAATCAGACTTGTAAAATTACAGAGTAAAATAATATTCTTAAATCTTGACCTTTTTGGTTTATGATTGCTGAAGCAGCAGGACTTTTCCTGCTGCTTTTTATAAGACTTTCAAGATTGTAGAAATCCTAAGTTGATTGCAGCTGGCTTGGGACTACAGCGACACCAAAAACTCTGCTCTTAGTAAGACATCAGGCCTGTTTTTCTGGGTCTAATCCTGCTCTTAGCTACATGCATATTAATTCATCTATCTGAATGAGGCTTTTAGTGTAATGGCAGGCTTTGTGTCCTTCCTGTTCTTGATTTTATACGACAAGATGCACATACTCCAGGTAATATTCACTGCAGTATAGAAAGGTACCCTACGCACTGTACACCAACTAGTTAAACTTCAAAATGGAATATGAAAGTAGAAGCACAAATATTCTCATAGGACAAAGAGTAAAAGCTGGATTTATGCCATTTAACCCAGGAAGAAATGGTGCAATTTTCACTAGAAGTATCTTTGCTTTTCATCAAAAGAGAGGCGATCCAGAAAACCTCCTATTATTCTTTCTAATCAGTAGAACAAGATTTCTATTTTTAATGATATTTTCTCTTTTTTTCCTCTCCACATTTCTGGGGTCCTAAATCATTAGCATCATTGCCCTTCGTGTGCCTCCCTGCTTTGCACTACATATAACGTCATGTCTCTCCACTGAATCGGGAAATCCTCCCATCTTTAATTTAACTAAAATCTGTTACAAAGGTGCCAAGAGTACAATTTCTTTTTTTTTTTTTTTTCCAGTAATACTCTGAGTGGATAGCAGTCTAGCCTCAGGGCCTATTTAAAATAAGCACTACATCTTCTTACATATGAGTATTCTTACATATTCTCATTTATTGGTCCAATTTTGTGTACTTCACAACACGAGAGAGAAAGAAGCAGTTGAAGAACACATAAAGAATCAAGAGAAATTTGAGGCTCCCCAAGGAAACAGAGGTTTAGCAATGGAGTAATAACTGCAAGATTTTAATGAGACTTTGGAAAACTTTGCTAGATAAGAAGCAGAACAAAACCATTGCTGCCATTTCATTCCCTGGGCCTGATTGCATTTTCATGATGGGCCTTTGCGCTGCTTTGACAGTAAGAGCTCTTTGAGTAAATAAGTATCAGACCTCCATGCTAGCACAATTTGGCAAGTCTTGCCAAATTTAGCAGCAGTCCCTACAGTCCTCAGCACGCTCTCGTCTTCACAGAGAAGTGGTGGAAGCAAACTCGGTGATTCCAAATGGCGCCTGGTCTTTTTTCTTCTGGAATGATATCTGGATGCTGCCAGTTGAGCAGGAAAGTGAGTGCCAAGGCAGTGCGCTTCCTCGCCCCGTTTCCAAACAGCAGTGAAACAATCAGAATTTGCTTCATAATAGGGCCAGGGTGAAAGGTGAGAAGCAGAGTATTCTTAAAGCCTGCTTCCAGACCCGAGGAAGACAGTGTCATTTTGGTAAACCTGTCAAGCTGTTGTAAGAACTTCCTGAATGCTTCCTACCATCTGCTTTTGATGCTTTCAAGACTTGGCTGGAAGCCTGGAGGTTTTCCTGCTCCTTCCTGCCCAACCTATAATGCAGTAATTCTGGATCTGTTCCCTGTCATTCCAGCCTCTTCCTCAGTTTCTTCTGCTTACAGCTGTTTTTTTTAATTATTATTTTATTTATTTTTTAACTGCAGTGGCCTTGTGCCCTGAATCATCTCTCCTGGGGCAGTAAGAGTTCCTCTGATGTTGAACAAGTGCCGGGTTTTTCAATTGTGTTCGTGTTCTTAAGAGGAAGGGTCTGGCCTCCGTGACACATTCCTTCTTCACACTCGCATCAACAAGTTTAACTTTGTACATGGGCTTCTCGGTGGAACAGTCACACAAAGCACATCCCAGCAGCGGTGTCAGATGACACGCTGTGCTGGTCTGCTTAGTGCATATTGATTGATATAATTTGTAGGGTTTGAGATAAATGTCATAAAGGACAATGAGTTCAAAGAATAGATTAAAAAACAATAAATTAAATTCCAAGGCGTTCCCTCCTGGACTAATCTATGTAGGTTCCTGTGTTTTTGGAAAGCATGTTGCTTATCTTCCTCATCAGTAGGCCCATTGCATTCCAGTATTTTGGATCAATGCCATTTGTAATAATCTAGATCAGTTTTTATTCAACGTTTATAAAACAGGCCATGTATCATGGGGTATATTTTATAGCAGATGGTATCTCCGATTCATTTACCCACCCCCCTTTGCTTCCCTCTTCCAATACCACAGTGCATACTTATAAGAGCTCTTGAAACTAGAGCTGGGCAGAATTTTTTTTTAACAAATAGTAAATTTGCTGAAAAATAGAGTTTCCAAGCAACAAAATTGTTAAAGTGTGGCATACTGAAAATGAAATGCTCTGCCTTCTAGAAATGCCAGGTCCTGGAATTAGGACAATTAAAAAGAAAAAAAAAAAGAGAGAGAGAGTGAAAAAAAAGAAAGAAAAAAGGGAGGATGCTTAGAAATTAAAAATAATAAAAAAGAATTAAAAAGCTGCACTAAAAAAGATGTTAAAGACAAAATTAAATAATCAGAACATTAAGCATTTATTTCAGCTCAGAGTGATTTTTTTTGAAATCCTCTGGTTCCCCACTATCAACCTATTTTGAATTTTCTGTTTGTTTTTAACCTGAGAAGTTTTTTTTTCACCTTGATGAAAACTAATTTTTCCCCAAAGTTGGAATTTGGGGCACTTGGGCACTGATCCACCAGCCGCAGTATTTGCAAGATCCTACTCACGGCAGTTCTGCAAGATGACAAGAAGTTTTCATATTCAGCAAAGTATTTAAACATGGCTCTAAGATTCATTTAAGTGAAATGGACTATTCAAACATTCAGAGATAAGCACATGCTCGAGCACTTTATTGAATTGCAACAGCGTTTGTCAGCTTTCAGGATCAATGCTATACACCTTGCAACAGCTAACTTGCTTAATAACATAATAGAAGAGATTGAAGAATTTCCCTAGATTAAGATACTAAGTGGCAATAAAGTTTATTGATTTATACATACTTGGGAATACTTAATTGTAATTTTATAAAATATTAATTACACAACTTTGTGCACATATAACTAGGTGATAAAAACAACACGTAAGCAATATTTTAGGTCAGTGAGTACAAAACCAGACCACATTTTTTTAAGTTTTAGTAAAGCCACATATCTTTAGGACATGAGAAAGAACCTCATGCTAATTTGCCTTGCAAAATAAGTTAAACATACCTGCATTTCTTAGAAATCTGAATTTGTAGTCAATGATAACTCTGGTCTCAGGATTATAGAATCCATCACCACAGTCATAACATCCTTCCGGGATTTTTCTAGGAGGATCCAAATTTGTAAGTTGGGAAATGCCTGAAGAAACAAGAAGCATAAGATTTGCTTTATTTTGCTTTTTTTTTTCCTTGCATTTGTGCCTTGATAACTAATTAATACTACTTTACATCCTGATGGCATTTGCTAAAACTATAATACTAATTAATCGAGATCGAGAAAATGAAAAAGCAGCAGCCCAGGCACGAAAAGCACACAGTAAAGCGTACAATAAGCAGTTACATTTATTCACACCGGGTTCTGTGATGCATCCCGCTAGGCTGGTGTTAGCAGGATAAGCCCAATCTCCAAAACGAAGCCAGGAGCTCCTGCTGTCCTCACCTACGAGTCATCGCTGAGACATTCTGTGCATAGGCAGGAGCACAGTACATTGTACACAGTACATTGTGCATTTTACTCGGTGTTTCTGCATCCAGATCTGTTCCCCTCTGACTATGGATAAATAATAACGTTAAAACCCTTAGCAAGAAGCACACAGGAAAGACAGGTTCGGTATCCATGGCCAAGCTGTCTCTCCAGGGGCTGGAAAGAGGCCAGGTCGGAGTCCTCCTCTTTCGCCCCAGCTCCTTCCCGAGTCCCGCGCCGCGCACGGCAGTACCTGCCGGTTTCAGACCGGAGCAGATCTCCGTGTAAAACCTCCTGTCGTAGCCGTCGCAGTAGTGCCAGTTTTTATCCTGGTACTCGAGGCCGTCGGCGAACGTGTATTTCCCCTGCAAAACGCGCAGTTAGTCCCCGGGAGGGCGGCCCTGTCACCCCGCGCC